ACTCGTCTGTTCTTGGAGCTTGTGTCCTCACTGTGTAATCTCATTTGTTCCTATTCCTGTGATGTGATGACATATGACAACTGACTATTCCACCAAGTCCATTTTTTTTTTAAACCACATTAGTGCTTTAATAAACTGGAAATTACAGAACTCATGAAGCACAAGTTTATTTAACAGAATTTATTTTTATTTAATTAAATATTTAAAATATTTTTGTATCAGCTCAGTGGAATAAGATTTTTCAATAGTATTAAAAATGTTTTTTCCATGCCTTCCCTGTAATTTAATCATTAATTAACATGCAAGAGAAAAGACATACAGAGATCTCAATACTAATTTTCACTAAGGAGTTCCTGTCTCTCATCTCTGGCATCTTGCTGCTGTTGTTTCAGGTCTTTTGCTCTGCTGTGCCAACACAACCACATCAGTGAGCTGATTTAGTTAAAAAAATATTCCACATTTTGCCTCAGAATACTTCTAAAGATCAATCAGTTCCTGGGACAATATTACTGTATAAACTGACACATCCTGCAGAGCTGAGTATCCAGACAAAGCATAGATGCCTTGTTTCTTTACACTGTGAGACTTCTATTCCTCTTTTATGGGAATACATTTGAAAGTATATTTTGGAATAGTTCCTGACTTGAGATTGCACATGATAGCAATGCAGCTTCTTGGTTGTCCATTCTATGGGATGTCTGATCCCAACTCTCTTTTTGAGGGACACTGTGATAGTATTCCTAACTATTTTTTTACAAGCAATATGGGTACGTATTGTAGAGTTACTAGATCTCAAGAAGAAAAGATCTTTGCTCTCCAAAACCTTTAAAATCCTCTGGACAGAAATGCCATTATATTGGTAAAGTATGGCTGGTGTTTGCATTTCACCACTCACTCTTTATGTCAAACTATGATACAACTGTTTGATGGAAGCAGATGCACATGAGGAACAAGGTGGCCACCATCCTGTGCACTCCAGTGACCATCCAGTCATTGACCTATCTAAGATATGGAAATGAAAACAAAAATGAAAATCACAGGAACAACTTGGATCCAAACCAATTTAGATTAGTTAGATCCTCTTAATTTAGTTTAGTTAGCAAAAAAAGTCTGTTCTATACCCAGACATTATTATATCCAGCTGTCTTTAAATACAGAAATTGGTTGCCTAAACAAAGAGAATATTTTCTAACATAGTCCTGTCAGAAGAGGAAAGTGAGTTTAGCAGAGACTCAGTATGACTCAAGGTAATGTATAAGGTTATACTGTTAAAAAGAATGCACTAGTTGCATTTTTAATATATCTATCCTTACTACAAATACTTGTAAAATAGGTAGTGTAGGTGTACTTTTTTAAACGGAAAATAATTGCAAAAACATCTTTCTTAGAAATAAAAGTTATCTGGAAGGTTGTGATGTCAACTTCTCACCATTATGTTCTTTCATACCCTTCAGTGGAAACACAAGTGTGCTGTAAAACATTAATGCAACTAGTCTTTGCTGTGTACAAGGCTGCATTTTTCCCATGTTGCAAGTTGTTTGGAGTGGCAGGCTGCAGAAAAGAAGTATTGTTTCTCCTTAAACATTCATGACAAGAAGTTTAACCTTTATGGAACAAAAAAGAGTGAGGGCCAGTCTTTTTCACCCTATCATCTCATTAATAATATAAAAATGACATCTACCTGCCTGGCTTTACTTTCTGTTGTGAAGTGGAAGCTGTTCAGATAGCAACAGCAGCAAAGTGTTATTACTATGTATGTGTGTGTGTATATATATCTGTATATATGTACATCAATGTTTTGTGTGCACTTTTGTGACCTTGGGTTCTTGTATCTCCACAGAAGTTGGTGTAACTTACAAGAAAAAAAAAAATCACATTTCCATCTGTTTTTCTAGCATCAGATTGGCTCATCTTGGGTTTTCATGCTGCAGTATTTTCACCTCAAAACCATGTTGATTTTTTTACATAACAGAAGTATATGAAGGTAAGGTCACAGAACACAAAAAGAGACACAAGATACACCATGATACATTTAGAAATCCTTTAGTTATATTCCAAAGGAGTACAGATTCCTTAAAATAAGAAGATAATTCAAGATTTCTTGAAAAACAGGGGAAGAGTTTGCAAGTCTGAATAATCTAGGCAGGGTATATTTGCAGTACAGGCATTTCATCTTTTCAGCCTGTAGGTGGGACTGTGTTTTCAGCAAACCCATCTGTGAAAAAAATTCTGAATTGGCATCAGGCAGCTCAGGCTGTTGCTAATGCTGGCTGGAGTGAGTCAAGTGATTCTTGACTTGTATTTGAGTTATTTCTGGAGAGAAAATAGCCTCTGTCCGAAATTACTTTAGTTGTTAATGGGCTATTCTGAAATATCTGTTCTCACTGCAGTCTGTGGGCATTCTGCCTGCTACAAATCTGCAACTGCAGATTTGTTCCTACTAAAAAGCATTTATGTAGCTGAAAAAAAAATGTCTGTGGAGAAATGTTGAATTTATAGCTATGGAAAATACTGTAAGTGAACTGATGATGGTGTAGTAAGTGACATTTTGAATTGGGATTAACAAGTAAATTCTCATGCATGACTTCTTGGCTTAGAAAAACAGGTCCCTCACAGGCTAGGATTCTTTTTTACAAAAACACTTAGGGCAAAGGGGAAGAGAAATGTTTATAGCACTCTAGGCCCACAGAGACACTGACTCCCATAACACTGAATGCAGTTACTCAGGTGAGTAAGAACCACATACTATGGGCCAAATGTTATTATGCAAATACTGAAATTGGACTCTGATGCTACTACTGCTACACAGTACTGGCTAGATGCCTTTTGTTTCTTGTTTTGCCTCATGCTGGCCCTATTTCTCCCACTCTTATTCATTCCCAGCAGTACTTTACCTCACAAGGAGCAGCCCGTGTAAAGGGGCAGCAGCCCTATCATTTATGGGGTTACTATCTCTTCTGTTTTGTTTACACAGCTTACATTGAAATAAGACAGCTAGGAGAGTATGGAGCTCACACGTAAAATATATTCTGCTGAAGGAAGAAGGAAATTATGAGAGATCCAACCAGATTTTGATGCTGTAAACACATGTGTTGGGTCACCATAAAGCAATCACTACAAAGGTCAGCATTTCAAAATGTGTCTTAAGAAAATGTTTTTGCTAGCTTTGTGGTAAAGATTGCTGGTGTGTTGTATATTGTAACATTCTATTTAATCTCCTCTATGTTATACAGAGCCATTTCCAACAAAAAATGCCTGACATAACTTACAGCACAGGAACACACAAAACCAGCTTCACCAGGGTGGCTGTTTATGTAATCTTCAAGAATACTCTGAAGTTTGATTCAGTAAATCAAATAAAACGATGAGAGGCACATTTCTGAGACACTACCCATCTTTAAATTTCTGAGCTTCTTTATTGTACCGAGCCTTGTTAGATAAATGTTGATGATTATTTCTGTACATCATGTTATCTGCTGTTCTCATTCCACTTCTTGGTTGTAATTGCACAAGTGCTTTGAGCTTTCTTTTTTTTTTTAATTGAGGCATCTTAAAGGTGAGCAGATGGTCACCACAGAAGTGCAGGTTTCCCATTCACAGCCTGCACAGCGAAGGCAACAACAAAAGTTAAGTTTACACATACTGCCCTGACAACGACCTCTGTGCTGAACTAAACAAACCCCTTCTGTAAATCCAGGAGCATTTCTCTCCCCTTTCGAACACAAACCTGGCACTCTCTAGAAACCATAAAAAAATCAAACTGGGCAGCCCTGCACTGGCTTTCAGGATGTGTGCTGCTGCAGGACACAAAATGCTCCAGGGCGCCATCCTTTAAGAGTTGCAGTCAAAAAGCATCAGGTGTTCCAAAGCCTCTTTCACAAAACAAACATCTTGCATATTTCACATCACTTTATTCCAGAAAAGGCTAACAAAATCTGAAGCATAGCAGTTTTAGGCCAGTGAGTAGAATTGAACAGGGATGATCTTAGGTCCAGGAAGTGTTGTCCTAGTAGTTCCAAAGGTTCTTTTTTTTTTCCCGGTAAAATAATCTCAGACCTCTCCTTCACTGGGGTTAACCTCAGTTGCTTGGGGCGTGGGAAATGACTCTCAAGGCAGTGGGAAATGACAAAGACCGGCATCCAGACCTTCTTGTCACAGGGGGCTCAGAAAGATTCCAAAGGGACACAGGTAGGGGCCACAGTTCCACTGTCAGCTTCCCCGCAGGCTTATGCTGTGCATGGGCACCTTTCCGGGTTGAGGAGACGGGAGCAGGGCAGCCCTGCTTGTGCCCTGCCACAGCGCCCGTCAGGCTGCTGCCTGCATCCCCTGGTGCTGATGCTGCAAGCCCTCCTTCCCGAAATCCCACAGCCTTGCCGAGCACTGAATCCCTGAGCCCCCGGGGTGCCTCAAAAGCCTTTCTTATGCAGTAAAGAACAGCTTAAGCAGGCTGGAACAACCCCCAAAAAGTATTTAAGAAAAAAATGGAAGTCCAATTACTCGCACGGGCCCGATTGCGGGGACTCGCTTGGCAAGGAAGGGCAGCAGCCGAGCGGGAAAGTAGGCGAAACACACACATCAGTGTTCGATGTACGCGATAAGGACACCCCCCGCGGGCCCGCGGAGGTGTGCGGGGCGGGGGGGCCGCAGGGAGGGGGCGGGCGGGAGGGAGAGCCCGGGCCGGCTCCTCCCTGCGCACAAACCCGGCCGCGCCGCGCCGGGCGTGCGGAGACGCCGCCGCCGCTCCCGCGCTACTTAAGCGGGGAGGGCGCAGCCCGGCAACCCCGCGGGGGGATCCGGCGTGGGGGGGAAAGTGATCATAGTAGTAGTCGTCCATCTATAAGAGAACGAGAAAAGCAAAGCCGAGATGCTCCGTCTGTCCGCCAGCGGGGTGGGGAGGGGCAGGTTGTGAATCCGCCAAACACCTGAGAAATAAAGCACAGCCGAACAATTTCGAGGCGGGCGGGGAAGGGGGGGGCGAAAAGTTTGCCGGAGCTCGGGCGTCTCCGGGGGGGCGGGCGCGATGCCGCCCTGGCTGCTCGGCAGCCTCTGCTGCGTGCTGGCGGCGCGGGCGGTGCTGGGCAGCGGCCCCGCGGGCGAGGAGGAGGAGGAGAAGCTGATACGGGTGCTGGTGCTGCTGCCGCAGGACGACGCCTACCTCTTCTCGCTGGGGCGGGTGCGGCCGGCCATCGAGTACGCGGTGCGGAGCCTGCGGGAGAGCGGCGCGGGTCTGCCGCCCGGCTACGCCTTCCAGCTCACCTACGAGGACTCGGCGTGCGGCAACCGCGCCCTGTTCAGCCTGGTGGACATGGTGGCCCTGCAGCGCCGCCGCCCCGACCTGCTGCTGGGGCCGGTGTGCGAGTACGCGGCGGCGCCGGTGGCGCGGCTGGCCGCGCACTGGGACGTGCCGATGCTGTCGGCGGGCGCGCTGGCCGCCGGCTTCGGCGCCAAGGGCGGCGAGTACTCGCACCTCACCCGCGTCGCCCCCGCCTACGCCAAGATGGGAGAGATGCTGCTGGCCCTTTTCCGCCACCACCAGTGGAACCGGGCCACGCTCCTCTACAGCGACAGCAACCCCGAGCGCAGCTGCTACTTCGCCATGGAGGGCGTCCATGTGGTCTTCCAGGAGGAGGCTTTCCACATGGCTGTGCACAGCTTCGACGAGACCAGCCGGCACCTCGACATCGACGACGTCGTCCGCGCCCTCCAGACGGGAGAGAGGGGTGAGTGGCGGCGGAGTGCCGGGCAGGGCTCCTCCGTGGCGTTCGGTGGCGGCTGGGGCGGTGGGAATCCCGCGGAGGGAAGGACCTGCGGGCGGGGAAGAGTCACGGCTCGTCCCCGCCCGTGGGGAAACCCACTGCGGTGCTGCGACGGCAGCCCCGGACCAGGCATATTCCGACGGATGGGAACAGCAGCCCGGAGTCAAAGCTCTGCCCACAGAGCTAGAGTTTGCCTCCCCACGGCGTAGAGAGCGGTTTGCCCTCGGAGACCACCTTAGGAGGGCTTTGTGGCATGGTAAGAAAACATCTTGCTGCTGGCGGTCTGGTTTACCCAGATTATCCACGTCTGCAGGGCAGCAAATCTGTTGCTTACTCTCTGAGATTTTTGCAGTGACACTGTATCAGTTCAGGGACTAAACAAAGATGTTTTCCTCTCACCCCACTGTGCCTTGCAGCGGGTGATCTTTTCATGACTTCTGCCGCTGGGAACCCCGACGAGTACCTCATAAATAACAGATTCATTTAGGGGAAATGGCAATTTCAGGGGATGTGTGCATGTGAAACACCTGAGTGCATGCCATGATATTGTCACCAATAGATAGCAAGACACTGTGGAGATAAATGGCTTGTAAACATCTGAGACAGTCATGTCTGGGCTGGATGAACTGACTTTGCATCATGGAACAGCAAAGCAAAGTGCTTTGGAACGTGCAGTTTTGTAGTTAGATGTTCTTTAAAGTGAGGTCTTGCCTAGCAGTGTGTGGCTATATGAGCTTATCAGAAACACTTTTTCTGTTTGAGGGTTTTGCATGACTTACTGCAGAAGCCACAGGCTTCCTCGGTAAGTCATGCAAAAAGAAAATATGTAGTCCAGAAGTGAACTGTAGGGTGAAGTCCTTAGGTATTTTCCAAGAAAGCCATGGATGTACAAAGCTCTTTGTACAATTCTTACATATCTTGTTGTAGAGTGTTAAAATAGCACCAGAATTGGGCAGATAAATATTATGCTGTGTGTGGCAGGCAGAACTGGTATTGTGGTGCTGTAGGCTGTGGATGGAGCAGCCTTGCACTGCTGATGTTATGGTGCTGTGAAATAATTAACATGCTGGACTGTGTGAGATAACTGAGGTCTGACAGCATAGGGCTTTTAATTCCCTATTCACTGAAGCAGGTGCTTTAAATAGAGCTTTCCTTTTAAGTACCATTTGGGGAAATATAATGAATGGAGAGAAATAAATGTGTTAGTGCTGGAGGAAACCACAATGTGGGAAAGATGCTTGTCAAATGTGTGTGTGTGGCTTTCCTGATGCTGAGAGCATTACAGCATGCTTACATCAGGAAAGACAAGTGTTCACCCCAGCCCCACTCTTCACACCATGCTGACAGTCAGAGAAGAGAGCTTGCTTTCAGCCTGATAAATGCTTTGTTGAGCTGAGACATTTGATCTTTCACAATTCTTCAACTTGCAAATGACTGAACAGAAGCAGCCCTCTTCTTTCTCCCCATTGTGGGGTCCCTCCTTCCATCTCACCTCTTTATTTGTTCTCTGACTCCTGCCACTCAAGTGGGGCCTTCCAGCTTCCACTTGTGCCTTTTTGACTTTAAAGACTGACTGCAGGACTCACCTGTCAGATTCCTTTGGCCCTGCTGCTCATGGCATGTTTCAGATTACCACAATATTTTAAGAGTTCTACACCATGTGGAGGGTGCACCAGATGAGGTCTGAAGATCAGTAGAAGTCTTTATTTGTTCTCAGGACTCACTGGAGATCCCCCCAGCAGGACAGCAGGACTTGTGGGCAGCAGCACACTGTCCAGAGCACTTTCTAGAAATAGTTTTGCTTGGTTGGTTTCCAGTTTTTAATGACTCCCGTGTCACACCTGCTGTGACCTCAATTTCTCTAGCTGTCAAAGACTGCTGCTGTTTAGTTCCCACCTGACTGGTCAGCCTTCACTGGGCTCCCTGACTAGGGGTGGGCTTTTGAGCAGATACAGGATTCTTGCTTGAGACTCCCCTGGAGCTGGGAAGAAACTTCCCCACCAGCTGTCCTGTGTGAAGCAGGACAGAAGTTGGCCCCAGAGGTTAGGTTGCTGCTGGCTGGGGGTTTTCACTGGCCTCTCAGATGCCTGAGAGGAAGAGGCACACTCAGCCATTCACCCCTTTGCGCCAGGGACTGCGTGTTCAGTCCCTGAGCCATGTGAAATGACTGAAGTCTTGGAGCCACAAAAATTAGTTATGAAAATGTGATCATTAAAGTCAAGTACTTGTCTACAATTAGTTTGATTAGTAGTTCAGGCTTCCTTATAGGCTCAGGTAAGCCTGCTGCAGAGTTCATGTTGAAGGCTCAGGTTTACTGTAAGGTTCATATATGCGGGCCTGTGCTTTATGTATAAGCACACAGTCCAAGGGATGTGTGTAGCAAAGGGAATGCTTATTCCTTTAAACTGGAATTAAACTCCAAAGTATTTTCAGGATGAGTCAATAATCCTAGTCAATAAATTCAGCGTGTTAGTATTAGAATTACTGTGGTCTGTGTGTATTATGGTGGAGGGAGAACATTTTGTATGGGTTTGCACATACACATTTGGTACAATGGTAAGGTACAGATGCATATTAAATACATAATTTACATTTTTTTGAAAGATTGTGAGAAACATATCCATAGCTTATTTGCTTCGGAATCTTGAAATATGTAATCTTTGCTTTCCTGCTGGGTTAGAAACCTCTTCCAAACAGTTAATATTACTTCTCTTACTTTCCTTTAGAGGCTTACAAAATACGATTTAATGTATGTTAAAGTAGTTTCCCACACACGCTCTTTCTTTTATTCCTTTTGCTCAATGTCTTTTATTGGTGTTGTGGGAATCCCTTTGATTCCATCTATGGATTACAGTTTTATGATATAAGTGAATTACAAAGGCAGAGTCAAGGAAGAATTGGGAGGGCAGCAAGGAAATATTTCAAAAGGAAATCTCTCACCTATACTGCAATTAAGAACAGTGAGACAAATTAATTCCTGATGTGCATCTGGAAAATATTTGGTCCAAATTTTATTGTAAGAAATTTTTTTTCTTGTTCATTTTCCTTCATGATAATATACTTCACAATGGTCATGAAATATGTCTTGCTCTGTTGCACTGGAAATTATTATATTACTCTGCCATAATCCATAGGACAGAGCTATGCATGGTATAATTCTCCTGAAGCGTGGTGTTGTACTGAATATGACTCACCCCAGCGGCACATCTGGAGGTTTATGCCTGTGATGGCATCCAACCAGAAAGGCGATGGGAGAAGATTCATTGTGTGCGAAAAGATTTGGCCTGTTTGGCATTTTCATTTCTTATAATAGAAAACACTTCCACCCACAAGAGCCAAATGTGGTTTTGATTTATTTTTATTGTTGGGTTGAAAATATTTGCGTACATTATTGTAGCTTTTGAGTCCTGCCATGCGTGACGGCATTCTTGGAAACATGCGTGCAGTTGGTTTTGAATCACCGTTCTGACAGGATCTCTTATGCCTCTGCTGTAGGATACAGTCCTGAAGCACACACTGATAAAATACTTTGCTTCTCCCTCTGATATCAGGATCTTCATACCGCTAGCCTTGTAAACCAGTGTAAAAGCTTGTAGTATAACTTGCTCTGTATGGGAGTTCACTTCCCAGTGTTGAAGACCTCACCAGCTGGGATTCTCCTTTCCTTTTGCAGAAGGAAGGAATAGCAAGGGCAGTAATCCTCCTGCCCATCAGCTCTGGGAAGACACCTAGCAACCACAATCACCACAGTGGGGGCCATAGTGCCCACACAGGGCACACCTGTGGGTCTCATCATAGCTGCAGAGCCTCTGTTTAGCTATTGGCCCATGATGAATGGGGCTCTGTGGTGTTTGTACTCACTTTTAATCTTCATGCTTATAAAATGGTCCTTGGTTTTTCCATTTATTAACACTAGGCATCCCATCATGTGTTGTTGCCTAGGCTTATTGCATGGTCTCTGGAGAGAAAGTCATGTTCTGGAAAGATTCATACAACTGTCCCTGCTGCGTAAGTGCTGCTCTCCTGTAAGTGCAGAGAGGCAGCTAAATCTAGGACAGGCACCTAAATATTGGGTAACTGAGGTGTAGGTAAGTACAGTCTACATCAAAATGATAATAGAATGGAAATTTAAATAGTAAGGTCATGGTATCTCCATCTTTGTCTTATGTCTGCTTAGAAATAACAACAGAAGCTTGTGATTGTAGTCTGAGTCTACAAATACATGTAGCTAAAGAAATTTGGAGCCATAACTTATGACATTCTGCAGGGGTAAAAACCCAGATTACACAGAGGCTCTAATTATCTTCAGAGGAGACAAGGAAAGAGGAAGCCTTTCTGTGTTCACTACCTGTCTTGTCAGCTCTTTGGGAAAACAGCTTTGTTTGCAATCTTTGTTTTCATGTTTGTTGCAAAACTGTGAGGACAGCTGGGGTCACTGGCTCTGGCAGCATTCTTGCTTCACAGGCTGTTCTTGAGCTGCTTCTTATCTATATTTCTCATTTTCTTCCAGTTGTAATCATGTGTGCCAGTGGCGACACTATCAGGAACATCATGTTGGCTGCTCATCGGCAAGGAATGACCAACGGGGACTATGCTTTCTTCAATATTGAACTCTTCAACAGTTCATCATATGGTAATGTTTTTCTTGCCCAAGTGTGTTGCAAAGTCTTTTGTAAGCTTGGTAGTATTTTTAGATTTGATAGCCTCAAAACATGCAGCACTGACTCTCCCTGTTGTTGCAGTTATCTTCCATTTGGACTATGATTTTGCAGGAAATAAAACAAACCTTGTGGCTATAGTTGCTACTGGGTGGGTAACAAGATGCCAAATATGCTACAGCAATTACATTTTGGGGAAGTAGCACCAGACAGAGACATTGGTTATGGTGTGGGTACCCCATTCTGCAGGGTGTGTGCTCAGATATAGGTGATTTGCTCCATCCCCAGCCTTGTGACTACCAGCTCTCAGGGCAGGGGCATTCCTGGCAGCCTGGTGACCTGAGCAGATGGCTGCAAGGGGTAATTACCAACCATTGTGGGCAGCTGCAAGGTTTGGGTCTCCAGAAATCACCTCTGTGCTGGGACATCTACGCATCTAGTTTATTTATCTTTTGATCACAGGCTCTGTCTGCAAAAATATTCAGCCATGCTATGTTAAAGCAAAAGCACTGGACGGGACAGAGGCAGTCCAAATTTTCTAGAGCAGAGTGAATAAAAGTGGCTGTTTACACCCATAAGTAAAAGGAGTCATTTTTGTCAAAGTAAAGCATAACTTCAAAATGTAAATGAAATGTATTTTCTTTTTGAAATATACCTAACATACCTGTATGCCAAAATATAATTGTAACTGTATGTTACATCAATGCATGGCAGGGACTATACCCGCTGTCAGCTGGTGCAGCTGTCTCACCTAAATTCAAAGTAATATTGGAACTATGTGTTTGCTGAGATCATATATCAGATGGCTGAAGCCAAAGCAGGCTTTGTTGAAGTATAACGTGGCTCTTAAAAGGAGCAGATTCTTTTGCAAGTGTAGAGAAAATAATTTCCTCCGTGCAGACTGCTTTAACTAATCCACTACAATAACAAATTCATTTCAAATTAAAAACCAAGCAGAAGTTGAGAAAAAAGGCAAAGTGTTGGGGATTACTTTCTTAAAGCTGCAAAGGCCAACTAACAGAAACAAATGGATTTTAAAAAGGTTATTTTTTAAAAATTAATATGTTAATTGGAAGTTATTTTGCATAAGCTTTCTGTTACTCATCTACTACCGCTGAAATTATTTCACAGTTAACAGGACTGTGTGTCACACTGTATAATGGAGGTATGTAACTGTATAAATTCAGAGATCTAGATATGTACAGATACTGCTACATATATCAAGATTAGCTAAAGAATGCCAAATTTTGCCAGGTAAGACGGAAATCACTCAAATAGTTAAAACGAAGTTGTAGATCATGATCAAAGCCAATGTGGGAGCCTCATTACCATCCTGCTTTGCATCACAGGTAGTCCAGTCTTCTTGCAGCTTTTCTGAGGGATTAATGAAAAATGTCTGGTTTCTGATGCAGCGTAGTTAGAATGTGGCATTTCCTGACATTTGTTTTAAACCAATTTTTCTGCTTGTGGATTTTTTTCCAATGTAGTGTGAAATAACTGTGCATCAGAAATTGACTTTTGTGCAGATGGTCATTGCATGTAAAAAGGAAACACAAGAATAGAGAAATTCCCCCAAAAATCCTTGTTACCAGTGCCTGGAGATACTAAGTTTTGTATTTCATAAAACCTAAGAGTGGGTGTGATCTGTCTTTGTGTTCAGATGACTTTATTGCAGTTCGTTGCTGCCCTCTGTTCTGAATATTTCTAATTTTTCAGAAAACTAGGCTTATTAAATGCCAAGACTGCAATAATTGTACACAAGTATTGTAACAAGACAATCTCCCACAAAATAATCCATTAAGGAATTTAGATATGTAAATTATTCTAGGAACGCTGTTATGCAAGTGAACCTTCCCCAGTCCCAGTGTTGGGATTTAAAGAGGGAACATGTATGGTGTCCAGGACAGAAAGTTACATTCTACTAGCACTACCAATTTTTTTTTTTTTCTTTTTTTATGTCTGTAATTTCATGCATTCTAGCTATTTCCATTTGCAAATGCAAAGCTATAGCAAAGCTCTCTGTGCTGTAGTCTCTGCTGTACTCCTTGAATCCAGCTCCTCCAAAATGCAGGTGCCCAGCTGGGGCAGAAGATGTTCCACTTTGTGGCTTCTGCAAGGCTTGTACTCTCTTTTGGGGAAGGTAGCAAGATGTGCTTGCTTACAACTGCCAGATGTGCATTTCCTTCTCTTTGAAAGCAGGGAAGAGGTCAGGTGCAGGCACTGCAGGGAAGAATGGCCAAACCAGACAGTGGGATGTTAGTTGCTACCCAGTGTCTCCATTGGGTGTGATGAATACGGTTCTGTGTAAGTGATTTTGACCTTGTATTGAGAAATAAATCCCTTAACCAAGGCACATGTATTTGAGCTCATTCCTAAAAAGAAAAAAATAATCACTTTTAACAAATAGCAAAGTTCCTGCTTTGTGTAAAGATTGTCATCCTAGGTGATCTGGGTTGTGGTAAATAAGGCTTTCCTAGGGTGGACAAGAGATGTGGAAAAGGTGCTCCTGTGTCTCCTGCCTTGTGTGGGGACTGACAGGAGATGCCCTGGACCCAAAACTGCAGGAGAAAGGGCTTATCCCCCACAGAAGTGCAGGACCTTTACTCCTTCCCTTGTGCTCTCTGAGGAAGCAGAGCAGATCTAGCCAGTTGTGATCCAGCAGCAGTGCTGAGAGGACAAAAATCAAGCTCTGTTTACCTGCTTCAGGTCCAAGAATTTGTTCTTGCAGCTGTGTGATGCAGCTGGGGAGCACTGCAGAAAAAAAAACCATGGATTTTTTTTACCTGTACCCCATCTCCCTTAACATCTCTGCAACTTGCTTCTCTTTGTCCAGTGATACTGTGGTCCTCAACCCAAGCAAAATAACCACATCCTCTCTGATTTCAGGTTCCTATGTTCCTCCAAGTCACCTTGGGAATTTAGCATTAGTTTTGTCTCAGTTCATTTAACCATAATTGGGTTTGTTGTTGTTGTTCAAAAAATAGTCTGTCTAGCTTTTAATTACTTGTAAACATTTAAAGGCTCACTGCTTAGGGCTACCACTGTTCCCTCTAGCCTCCTCTAGCCTTTTTTAGTTATCATTTACATCAAATAGTGCAAAACTCGCTCCAGAACAACATGAACCTTTCCACTGACCTCCTGAAGTTTTGGCTCAGGATCTCAGGTCCTGCTAAGGCCAGGTATGTTTGTACAAAAGACTTCTTTCCTAATAAACAACCAACCAGCTATCCTGCTTTTTAAAAATGTGGTTTCTTTACTGGTGGTCTGAGTTAAATTGTTCCCTTGCTGTGACACAAAATACATGTAAATACAGCGTAGGCACAGGATTCCATTTTATTTTTATGTATTCCTTTCCCATTAAAAGCAGTGCTGGTCTGGCAGCCATGACACACATGGTTTTTCCTTGACCACAGTGGGAGAGCTGCACCATCTGCCTCCTATTCAGGGTGATGATTATGCTCTTGACTTTACTGGTGCCTTTCTGATTGTCCAAGAGGAGTGATGTGTAACAAAAACTTTGCACATGAATTCTCCCTCACTTCTTCTAACTTAAATATCTCTGCGTTTGAGATCTGGCATTTGTGTTTGGCTCCAAGATCACACTTAGGATTTATTTCACCCTTTTAAAATAAGCAAACACAGCGTGGAAGTAAAGTTGTCCTTTGGTTTGCACATTTACTTCTTAGTTATTCCTCGCTGCCTGGTTCCCTGCACACTTTGAAGAGGGCCATCTCTCCATTGATCAGAAAAGGGGACTTCTGGGTGCAAAAAAGAATCCCATAATGGTACCTAGTTTGGAAATATGCTTGTTTCCCTCTTTAGGAAATGGCTCTTGGAGAAGAGGAGACAAACATGACCTTGAAGCCAAGAAAGCATACTCATACCTGCAGACTGTCACTCTGCTGAGGACTGTGAAGCCTGAGTTTGAGAAGTTTTCCCTGGAGGTGAAAAGTTCTGTTCAGAAGCAAGGTCTTCATGAAGATGACTATGTAAGTACTTGATGACAGTCTTCAGATCACAGCATCTTCAAAAGCATGCTTCTAATTAAAGAGAAGTGGCAGTGAAACCTTGTCAGGACATAATCACCTAGGCTCGGTTGCAAAAGTACGCTGCTGCACATATAATTTTTCTTTTTGGTGGATACTGCAAATTACAAGGATAGTCTTGGTGCACTATATCTGTGCACCACCATCCATGACCAATTGTTCTGTGCTCATCTCCTAGTTCATTAGCAGAAGGGTTGGGCAAAGGCAGGTGTCTCTCAATCCACCAGTGATAAGTCTTCTTAACAGGGAAAGAAGTACAGCCTTCTTTTTTGTTTTCTCCCAATAATGAAATGTTTTTTTTTAGAATCCAGTCTCAGAAAGTTACACTATCTGTATTGCATACAATGAGGTAATTATTCATGTGAGTGACAAAAATGGTATTATTTCTCAAAAAGAATATTTAAGTAGTTGCTGTTTTTATTTGGAACTGTCTGGAATATCAACAGGCCTTGGAAGTTTCTTTAAGCCTTGGGGAATGCCAGTGTCTTCCAGAAGTGGACATGGGAAACTATGCCTTTTTTTAACCTCTCAAAATGTAAGAGAAAAATGCCTTTGAAAATTGCTTTTGAGCTCGTGCTAAGCTATTGCTAAGCTAGTTCATTAGGTATTTTGATAGAAAAGTCATCTGTGGAAGCAAAAATGTATAGCTTGTACCTGCAGGGATTTCTGCATGCTGATACAAGTACTTTCCTGGTAGCCTTCGCCATGGTGCAATGTCAGCTTTCCAAATATAAAGAAAAGAGGCTTGAAGAGAGATTGGTCAGTCCTTAGCTGCAGGAAATGAGAGCCTGAGACTCAAGAAAGCAACCCAAACCCTTCATTTTCCTGCTTTCACATAGGCTTTCTTCTCATCCCTTTGCTTTAAGCATTGTGTCCATCTTTAGTTCATCAGCTTGTGCTTGAATGTTATATTAAAGTATGAATAACCTTTCCTGGCAGTTTACTGTATAGTTTTGGCTACCTTTAGAAAATCTGTGCTTCATAGAACTTGAATGTATTTAATTTAAATATTTTACCTGAAGTGTTACATTTGAATGTAACAGTGGTTTATATTATTCCTGTGATACTTTCAAAGTCTAGTCTTAGCCTTTTTTTTGGCATGTTTTGTCTTGGGTTAGTGGAGAAACCCCACTTCACAGTTTCAAGGTGCAGCTCTCTGAAGAATCTGCTAAATGAGTTCTGAAGAAGGCCATGGGACTTTAATTTGTGCTGGTGCTCCTTTTTCTGTCCATGTGTCCTTTTGCAGATTTCACTTAGCAAACTTTGTCCTTTGGAAACCTGCTATGTGCCTTTGGTTGTGGTTGGTTAGAAACGTGCTTTTAAATACTTAAGATCCATTCATCTGTAGTATTGTGATTTTTTAGTCTGGGCAGTGTGACATCTCCCCAGATAAGAAAAGCTGAGAGTTCAGGCTACTGTCTGTGGGCAGTTTGGAGGCAAGCAAGAGGATTCTTTTCTCTTCTTTAGGGTGAGTTCTGGGCAGTGCTGATTTGGGCTGGGTAGTTCAACCAGTTCTTGTCAACCAGAATTAGATCTAGGGGAGGGGAATTTGCTCTCCCCACACAGGGGAATTAGATCTAGATTCCCCTGTGACAGCATGGGGGAGATTTTGCAGGCTAATGTGTTCGCCAGGGAAGACTCCCTCACAACTGCACACCCACTGCCACAAGTCCTCTGTTGTCATTCCTCACTGCATGGCTGCTGTGTGTGCTGTCAGTGCTCCTGGCTGTCCTGGACCAGCAACAGGGGCTGGCTCCCTATCATCTCATCCCTGACCTTCTTCTGCCTGGCTCTGAGGACTGCCTCTCCCTGTGTCCCATTTCTACCTGTGATCCAAGGTCCTTCACCTTGTTCCAAGCATTCCTTCACACAAAACCTTGAGCCTTGCTAGGGCCAGGCAAGTTGCATAGGCTTCTTCCTGTTACTGCTGCTTCTCCTACTCCTCTTCCTGTTCTTCCTTTCCTGCTTGGCTTTCTTCTTCTTTACAATCTTTCTTGCAGAGACACAGAGAACATCGTGTGACCTGTGTACACGTACCACTGATTTCTGCCATCTGAAAGATCAGCCCTGAGCTCAGAGGCAGCCTCCAGCGGTGGAGGCCATCAGGATCTGGAGCTCTCTGTAGGGGAGATATGGTTCATGTCTATGAGGGAAGGAGGCTTGGTTTCAAACGCAGAGTATCCTGGTATTAGATGGATGCTTTACTAAAGTATACCTCAGCAGAGCCTCCCCTACTTGCTTTTTTACAGCCTTCTAACAATAGTAAAATGAAATGTCTCTAAGAGAGTTAGTTTCTGGTTGATTATAGGAAAAAAAAAAAAAAGCCATAGCTGTGTTCCTTAATTAACAGTGTATGAACTTTAACTTTATGCTTTGCTTTGCATCGTTCATGATGAATTATACCTTTCTCCACTTTGGACAGTGGAAAAGATGCATCATATTCCCTTAACTGATTGTCCTGCTGCCCTGTTCAGAGGAGAAACATTTTCGGGCAGCGTTCAGGATTAAGGAAAAAAAACATTCAGAAAACTAATGGGGAAAAAATAAAAAGCCAGACTGAAGGCCAATTCCTTCCCCTCTGAAAAATTTCTGGGTAGTGGGTGCACATTAAGTGTGCTTTCTTTGGCAACATGGGAAAAAGGTGTCCTTGGTACACATTAGGCAAAGTTGTGTCCTCCAAGGGAAGATGGGAAAGGGAAAGTCCTTGAGCTGAGTGGGTGGGAAGCAGCAGAGATGGATTTTGCTGGATTCTGCTCCTGAAAACAAAAACTATGTAGGAAGATAATCAGTCGTACAGCCCATCTCATGTCATATCCATGGGTGTTGAAATATAGTCCTCATTATTTTCTGCAAGCTGTGTCCCTAGAGGAGACACTTAGGGAGGTTTGGATTTGAAGCATTCAGTGTATCTGCTTTTCTGAGTGGATTTTTCCAATGTCATGGGAAAATGGGGGCCCCAGGCCCATGGTCTAAATAATCTCACAGTCATTCTAACTCAAACAAAAGTCGTTAGTGCTGCCATTTTGTCCTGGCCTCTTGCCAGCAGTAATCCTAAAGGCATTATTATCTACCAAAAAAGAATATAATAAAAATGGAAAATAAGCAGATGACAGAAGGAAAGATAAGAGAGACAGAAAGGGCAAAGTCCTAAAGCAGCAGCTGTCCCACTGCCAGATGCAGAACACATACAGCCCTTGGAGGAGTAAGGTCAAAGAGTGTTGGCTGTCTTCATCTCCAGCTGTGAGATCACACAGAAAAGAGAAAAACGTGTTTTGGGTACGTCTTTCCCAGCTCAGAAGTTTCTGTTGTTTCTGCATGAGTGTTATGCTTTTGAAATGGGGAAGGAGGAAGAACCTTCCTCCCTATGAGGGAGAAGGAAAGTGTGGAAAAGACAATTTCTTCAGGAATCTCTCTTGTGAAGTAAGAAGCTTCCTTAAGCACCTTTTAATTAGACAATATTGAAAATAAGAGTGTCAGAGAGGTTCTGAGAAAGCATCTTAGAAACACTTGGGTTGCACAGCCTGGGGCAATGGTGATGTTCCCTGTCTGCAATGTCAAAATGTTAGTTTGCTTGTTCACCAGTCTGAATGTGAAAGTGACTTACTGTCATGTTAATGTAACCCAGAGAACTGTAGGTTGAAGCAATAAATCTGCTCAGCCATCATTTCAGCATTCAAGTGTCTCATGTTTTTTCAAGAAACATCCTGTAGTTTTGTATAAAGTGTGACCATTTTATTCTGTGCTTACCTGAAGATCAACTTTGCTGATAAAATAAGAAAAAGAGGAGGAATGTTTTCAAAAATCTAATCAAATTTGGGTTTTAGGCATGCACTAGAGTTGCTTTAATGCTTTTATACAAATGATGGCAGTTTTCTTAGTTGTCTAATGTTAATGCATTAGCAAGATATTAACAGCAGGCAGTCCTGTTCTCTGTAAACCAACTACATCCTTGGTTTAATTGCAAAATACAGGGCAAGCTCTGCTTGTAGACCTGTAGCCTAGTTGAGGCAGACAGCAGTTGGGAATTGCATGCAATTACTTGAAGGAAGAATTTAAAAATGTCTCTAAAGGGGTGTGTGAATAATTCCCAACACATACTGTAGTTAAAAATGTTTATGAATAAACAGTGTTTCAGTTGAAGTATATGCATAAGCCATTTTTATTAAATAATGCTGAACACTTAATGAATTGGTGGTAGGGTGCAGTTTCGAAGTTCTTAATGGACCTTCTGTTCCTGACTCAGGCCTAGGATTCAATAAATGCTTTTTTTATGTCCAACCCAGTATTCTGAGCTCAGATGATTTTACAGCCAGGAATATTTGCTCTTCTGAGGTTACAGACCACCCATGGCTTGTTTTTTCTTCTCATTTAAAAGCTGAAAATGTAACTAATTAAACAAATATTTCTGCTGTGTTAACTACATGACAGCATTGTTCACATGGTGGATGCATGGGTTTTTTTCCTACCCACAGCCTTTTTCACCCTGAAAATGAGCATCAGGAGAAGGGAACTAGAGCCTGATTTGCCAGTAAAGTTATCTCAGTAAAAGAATGAGCTATGTAGATTAATTAGATCAGCAAGATGCTAGTCCCTATTAGAAAGGGGAACTCTGTTTTATTTAACATTTTCAGCCCTCTGAAAGGAGAAATGGTGCACTCAAGAGCAACCTTTTTAGCTCCAACAGTTAAACTACAAAAGCTTCATGGGAGGTAGCTATGCTCGTAAACTTTATCATCTCATCCATAACATCCGTGCCAGACTCTTCCTTGTGTGTATTTCTTACGTCAGCCTTTTAATTAAGATTGCACACCAGCTAAGATAAAGCTGGAAGAAGTGAGCAATTCAGTCTTGTCGCTATGATGCTGAAAAATGTAACTTATTCAGCAATGTTCTTCTCACTTGTCTTTTTTCAGGCAGGCGATATTAATGTCAGGCAGTCTTTT